TATGTTAATGCAATCATGGGGTACAGTGTGATGTTTTCATATACAATTTGAAATATCTTCATGAAACTGGTTAACATAGCCTTCATGTCATTTTCTTAGTTATTGTGCTACAACGTTTATATTCTACTTTAAGAGGTTAACCATTTTTTAAAAAGTAATCTTTGTGAGTTTATATCTTTAAGAGTATTGGTCCATTTCATTCATATAAATTGTTGAATTGTCAGGCATAAAATTTTTCATAGTAGTGTTATCTTTTAATGTCTAAGTTCTGTAGTGGTGTTTCCTCTTTCATTACTGATAATGGTAGTTTGAACTTTCTTCTATTTTTTTAAATTCAATCATAGCTGTGTACTCCAATGTATTCAGTCCTATTATGAAACTAAGAATACAGGAAGGGGGAGGGGGAGGGGAGGAGAGGGACGTGGATGGGTGGAGGGAGGGTGATTGGTAGGATCACCTCTATGGTTTATCTTTCTTCTATTTTTAATTGATCAGTCTAGCTAGAGGGTTTTCATTTTCATTAATCTTGTATAATAATGAGCTTTGGTTTACACTGATTTTCCTCTATTGTTCTCTTATCTTTAATGTTACCGATTTCCATTTTGAATGTTTTTATTTCCTTCCTGCTGCGTTCATTGAGCTTAATTTGCTCTTCTTTTCTAGTTTAAAAGTGGAAGCTTAGATTACTGATGTGAGACCTTCTTATTTTCTAAAATAAATAATTAATGTTGTAAATCTTCCTTTAAGCACTAATTTAGCTGCATTTCACATTTTTAATAGCTTTTATTGAGGGATAATTGACAAATAATAAACTGTATATATTTAAAGTGTACAATTTGAGAATAAATAGCATTGACTAATACCTACAGTAAAGTGTTAAGTATAAGTAGAAGTAGGAAGCATGTTCATCTTTTTCCTGATCTTAGTATAAGTGCCTTTATTGTTTTATCAAGATGCTGGCTATAGGACTAAGTAATTTATATTTTATCATAGAAAAACGTACTATCAATTTCTATTTTATTGTGTGATTTTTATCAGAATAGTTGTGAATTTTGACAAAGGCTTTTTCACTCGGCATCTTTAGAAATAAATTCTATAATTTAATATTTAAATGTTAATCACATTATATAAATATAACCTGTGTTAATATAATTGTCCCACATGTTTACTGTATTATCAGCTTTAATTTTTAATATAGTATTAAAAATAATATATTAATTAGTAATGTTAATGTCATACCTTAATGTCCTGGTTATTATTTTCTAATGTGGCATTGTAGTTTTTTCCACCTTTATTAAGGTATAATTGAGAAACAAAATTTGTGTATATGTATGATATGTAAATGTGATGTTATGGTATACGTATACTGTGAAATGATTATATCAAGCTAATTAACATATCAACCACCTAACATACTTATTTTTTTGAGGGTAAAAACATTTCAAATTTACCGGCTTAATAATTTTCAAGTATATTATACATTATTACTAACTATAGTCACCATGCTGTACTATAGTTTTCCAGAATTTATTCATTCTGTCTAAACGAAACTTTGTATTTTCTCATTTTCTCATTCCCTTCTTTCCACCTCCCAAGGGCCTGAAAAACACCATTCCACTCTCTGCTTCTATGAGTCTGAGTTTTTTGGATTAAGGTAGCATTATATTCTATTTGCTCATGTTTTACCAATATTTTTGCATTAATAGTCATAAGTGATTTTGGTCTATAGAGTTATTTCTTTGTACTGTTTTTATCTGGTTTATATCTCAAAGTTAAGCTCACTCATATAAAATTAGAAAGATTTCCTGTGTTTTCAAAGCTCTGAAACAATTATGGAGTATTAGTATCAGCACTATCTGATGTTTGAAGACTTGGTACAATTGCCCAGTGACACTTTGAGCCTGCTCCTTTTTTTATGACGTAGTTTCCTTAATAACTTTCTCTATTTCTAGTGTTGAAATTGGTCTGTTTCTTTCTATATCAATTTTATTAACCTGGATTCCCCTGAGAAATTATCTTTTTTTAATGTTTTCAATTGATGTGCATATAAATCTACAAAAGGATTTCATGATCAAAGAAATTTATTTTGCTTCAATGTTTATTTCACTTGTCATACTTTATTTGGTATATTTATCCCTTCTTCTTTACCCTTGTTCAAATTAGCAATTTTTGGTTTTGTTAAAATCTTCTTTTAGATGTATATTGGGGGAGGGGAGAGATGGCTAACTAGTGGCATCACTTGCTTGGGCATACCAGAGGGAAGGAAGGGTTTCAGACAAATAAGAGGAGATAGGGCATGCAGCTCAGGTATAGGTCAGGGAGAGATGTGTCCGAGGCTTCTGGGGACCTTGTAAAGGAAGACTGTGAAGCAGAGGAGAAAGCGAATAAAGGAAAAAAGATATCAGCAAGGCTCAAACTCAGAGAGGCTCAGAGCCCAGTGCAGGGGTAAGGGAGTGATCTCTTTTTCCCTCCCACACTCCTTTGGTGATCAGTGGGCTACTAAGTTACTTGGAAGCTTCTCCCTCCTCACTAGCTCAAGCACTGCAGTGACCATGGAATTGTGGGACGAACTTGTGTGATCCCAGACACTGGACATACTGTGTGAGGTTCCCCTTCAAGGAGAGTGACTCAAGAGGCCAAAAGCCTGCTTTCTTCTATTCAGACTCTTGTCCTTCCCTGCTCCTTCCATATCCACTACACTGGGAGAGCATTTTGAGGTAAAACTTTGCTGAGCTGTCATGTCCTTCAGTCTGGGGTTTCCACAGAACATGTGGCCCACACTGTCTCCTTGAGGTCTAGCAACCGACCCAGGATGTCCAATTGGGGAAGCTCCCTGACCATCAGCATTTCTTGGAGATGCATACCAGACAGTCAGACACGCAGGCCATTTCCTGTGCCTCATGGACTCAAGCGAGTTGCTGGGGGACCCAAAGTAGGAGGTTTGGGAGTTGAAGGTGAGGAAGCCCATGTGGGCATAAATGATGAGAAATTACTGTGGGTGTCTGAGATGTCGCAGTTTGGGGAAAAGCCCATCCTTCCCACAGGAAAGTGACATTATCAGACTAGGGTGGGTCCTCTGGTGGGGAAGATCCCTGCCTGTGACACCATAGCAACCAAGTGCAACAAATTTAGGTTTGTCTATTCAACACAGTTTTGGAAGTCCTATCCAGAGCAATCCAGCAAGAGAAGAATATTAAACGTTCCCAAATCAGGAAAGAGGAGATCAAACTATCACTCTTAATTGATGACATGATCTTATATCTAGAAATCCCTAAGGATTCCACCAAAAGTCTCCTGAAAAATAAATTGAGCAAAGTCTCAGGATACAAAATCAATGTACATAAATCAGTAGCATTTCTATATAGACCAATGTTTATTTATTAATTCTATTACTGTTGGATTTTCTAGGGTTTTTTCATGCTATTGTTTAACTCCAACCTTTCGATTATAAAAAAAAAAAATCAATGAAATGATTCTATTTTGTTCTTTCCTTTTCCCTTTTCTTTTCTTCTGAATTTTTAGTTGCATTGATTCTACTTCATTAGGACATATAACACATGATATGTATATACCATATAAAGTATAACATCCTTCAGCGTTCTTCTGAAGTTATACCACCTTCATCTTAGCTCTAAAATTAAGTATATTAAATGCTTCTCATCAGTTTTTTTGAGGAAATTTTCCCAACAATTCCCTTGTTAGATGAAACTCATCCACTATTCGATTTTTTCAGAAAGGTTCATGGTACAGAATGCCCTGAATTTTAAAAATATTCGAAGTTTTTATAACAGTGATGGATAACTTCTCTGGAAATAAATTTATTATTTCAAACATTGTGCACTTTTTTATATTTTAAACTTACTGTATCTTTTATATACAGTAATACTCTTAAAATGGTACACTAGAAGTTAGAGTTCTTCAAATTTTGAGAATTGTTTATATATTTGTATAACCATCATCACAATCAGGATATAGAACAGTTGCATAATACCCAAGTAAATACTTTTTGGAGTCATCTTCCCACCTTCAGGTGCTAGAAACTACTAATCCGTTTTCTGTTGTTTTAAATTTGCCTTTTTTTTATTAAATCATAACTTTACACGAATGCATTTATGGGTACAATGTGCTGATTTTATGTACAATTTGGAGTGCTCACATCAAACTGGTTAACATAGCCTTTACCTCACTTACTTGATAAGAACACGCTCTAACTGGTTGAAGTTTTTGAAAGTATTATTTCATGGTTGCTTTGCTTTGTTATCTTTGTGGCACGTAAGGGCAATCTAACTCATTTGCTCTTATAAAAATTTCCTCTTGCCTACAATCCCTGAGGATTTTTTCCTTTACATTAAAATCTAATGTCTCAGGTACCACTGTTTCAAGGCAATTTTCTAGAACTGGTTTTAATCTATCAGTATGTAGATTCAGACACGTTCTTATTTCTAAAAAAGTTCTTGGATTGTAGGTTTAAATTTAATTGTGTTTATTATTTTTTTTTCTTTTTAAGGATTCTCATACACACATTGGCTCTTTTTTTATTGATATTCCATTGCAAACACTCTCTGATATTTTTTGCAAGCAACAAAAAGGATTATTTAAAACATACTTACTAAAGAAGATGTGGCTATTTTTCTCTTTATATTAGAGATGGGGCTAATTGGTATATATATCGACCACATATCAGGGTTTAGGAGATTTTTCTGGACCTATTCCATTCTGTACATTGTATGGCAACTTCTCATTCATTACACATTCAACTGAGCAAGAGAATATCTATGCATGATTTAGATATATTATAAAATGTCAGTTTTGCTGTTTTTAACACTGCTACTGATTGATTTCATAAACTTGATACACACATCCGATTCCTTTTGTGACACAATTTACTTTTTTTCTTTTTCCAAATGTTAGAGGTAAAATAATTATGAGTGTTTAATATGATACCTGATGAGAATTTATGAAGTGATGTGAGATTGAAAAGCTAATAAAATTGTACTTACCATAAAGGATCGCAAGCAGCGACGGTGGCATGACAAGTAGTCCCACTAGCATGTCAGCAATGGCTAGGGACATTAAGAAGTAATTGGTGGCATTGTGCAGTTTCTTCTCCATGCTAACTGCCATGATTACGAGAATATTGCCACCTATTGTCATGATTATTATTACGACAATTGAAATTGCTGGCCAGTTTTGTACCCCGTCTGGAAATTTAAAGCGTCCACCATCGGAGGCATTAAAAATGTCAGTTACTATAGCTGTTACTGGGCTCACAGAAATATCACATTGCCAAACCAATAGGCCAATTAGGTGCACACTGAAAAATAAGAAGAAGAAGAAAAAAAGATGATCAGGTATATATTTTATTGCTCACACACAATTTATTGCTTATACAAAACAATTGCTTTTCCTTCAGCAATGATTATCATCATTTCTCATTTATTAATTAAACTTTAATGTCTTCTTTTTAATCCAAAGCATACTAATTTTTGTTGAGTGGTTATTATGGGTTAGGAACTTAGTTTACTGAAATATATAGGTTTAATCTCATTTGATCTCATACAACAACCTCATGAAGTCAGTACTGATTTATATCCACTATGCAGATGAGAAGACTGAGTGAAGTTCAGAAAGGTTATGTTAATTTTGTCAAGCCAATACCGCCAGTAGGGGGCAGGGCCAGTGTCCATACTCAGTTCCCACTGATGTCAAAGCCTGTGTTTGTAACTTTTACTATGCTGTGAAAACAGAATTGTTTGATTTGCTGTAATAGGCTATTTATTACATTTAAAATATATTAATTTCTTGTAGACATCCTCTACGACAGCTGACAACGGAATCAAGGGAGATTTTCTTAAAGAATCCAGTATCCTGACAAGAAAATTGGAAGTTGCCTTTTTTGATCCAAAGCTAAGAAGGAATAAATTCCATTAGACCAGCTTCAGGCAAGTGTTTGGAAGAGGCACAGTGATTTTTGACAACAGTACATACATTTTTAGTTCTCATTCTACTTTCTCAGATTTGCAGAGTGACTTTATGCTGGTTCAATAATTTCTTAACATCTTGTGCTATAAACTTCCCTTCAACTGCCACTTTCCCTTTTCTGTCATACTTTTTTATTTTCATGCACTGGGAACTGCATTTCTTTGGTCCTTTAAAATGTACATTTCTCAAAATGGTAGGTAGAGTCTACTAGTAGGAATTTCAAACCAACTGGCAGGCTACTACAAGAAATGGAAGTGGTTGTCTTTTGCACATCCTAAATTAATTTCCATTCGTGACAGTATAAGATTTATTTGAGTTATATACATAAGTGTTCTCTTGGAGTATAAGCTCCTATATTATCTGATACAACCAACACATTTATTTTCCTTACTAAAATAGACAAAATAGTCAAGGATGTTCAGTAATATTTCCTGCTTAAAAACAAGGAATATTATCTATGAATGGCTTTTTGTTTAGTCTATATGCAATCATAGTTATTCAGTAAATATTAAACAGCAACATGAGGCTACTTTTCCTTTAGGGAGTGATTGTTAAATCTTGATACTATTTCTAGGAGAGGAAATTGCCCTGCTCGCATAACATAAGCTAGTTTTCTATGCAAGACACTTGAAGGAAAATTCTGAAATTGGAGGGCTGGAGTGCATTGACATTATAACATCCAGAGTCTCTGTGTTGTCCTGGTAAATGCTTTTGTGTCATTATCATCTCAGTCACTTGTTCTTTGAACTTAAAATAGTTATCTCTAGCGAGGATAATATATGTGTAATTTAGTTGACTCATTGCTCATTACCATCATATAAGAGAATTATAAAAGAGAATTTACAGTAGTAAAACTAGATGATTATGATTATCATAATTATACCATATTCATGATATCACACACACGAATGCATGTGCCATACTTTCTGAACCAAAACTTGAACACATATCTGGAAAAAATATTGGCATTACCTAAACCTAAGTCAAAATATTGAAATAATTTTCTAGCATGTTTTAAAATTATTTCCCTTGATTTCTTTTTTCTTTTTCTTTTTTTTTTTTTTTTTGAGACAGAGTCTCACTCTGTCACCCTGGGTAGAGTGTCATGGTATCATCATAGTCCTCAGCAACCTTGGGCTCTTGGGCTCAAGAGATCCTTTTGCCTCAGCCTCCTGAGTAACTGGGACCACAGGCACCAGCTTGGCTAATTTTTCCTATTTTTGTAGAGATGGGGTCTGTCTCTTGATTAGGGTGGTCCAGAACTCCTGAACTCAAACAATTCACCCTCCTAAGTGCTAAGATTATAGCTTTGAGCCACTGTGCCTGGCCACTTTTGATTTCTCTTAATATCTTATTAATATGCTTCCATGTCTTTAAAGACAATAAAGAAATCATGAAATATGTTGACTTTCTCATACCACATGGGTATAAACCTATACCTCAGACATTTGGTTTAAAATAACTTCATCATTAGTCAAAGGTACCTGATATTCTAAGCAACATGGAGAGTGAAGACACAGTAATTTTTATCAAATAATGAGAACTAATCAGTAAATTCTTTCTAATATATTCATTTCCTATAAGATAAAAAATAAGTACAAATATTGTGATTCCAAAGTCTATATTGTTATTAATCTGTGATTAATATTAGTAGAACTTACTGAAATACAGGACCAAATAAGTGGAAACAAGTTATTTTTTTCTCAATTTTGATTACTCTCACTGTATTTGTTGTACCTGGCAGGTGGCCAATGTATTGGATCCATGATTTCAATGATGGTTTGACTCAGCCTATCAGAATATCAGTTTCCTCATCTGTGCAAGGATGATTTCTACCACATGGTTGTTTTGAAAATTAAATGATACATGTGAAGTCCTGCAAACAGTACTGTGTCATATTTGGCCTTCAGTAAATGTTGGACCTTACCTTCTTTCAGCCTTCAAAGTTAAACAGAAGTATTTTATGACTGCTATATCCCAATTTATGTGCTTCAAAATTTTATTTAAGTATAAGCAGAACTGGGCTCAGAAAGTAATTTTAAGCACACAGTCTTTTCTAGGGTTTTTTTTTTTTTTAGCTAATGAAAACCTTGTCCTCTGTCATTAAAGAAAGATGTTTCTGGTTTAAATTAGCTGTTGATCGTCTCAAGTAGACCCCCCCAAATTTTATCTCAATAAGCCATGTCTTCAATTGTTGATTGCTGAATCACAAATACTGTATATATGTACTCTTATGACCCAAGTAGAATGTGCAGTCCAGCCTCAATTTTTCTCAGTAAATTGTGAAAAGACTTAAATTCTTTCATATGTCTTGATATATGACAAAGGGGTGCAGGATAAAATTGCACATAACAAAGACATACATATAAAACTATTTCCAGTTATGAATTTTTATAATTTGAGTACCTTAGAATTTGGGGGCAGAAAAAAAAAAAAACAATTCAAGTAATTATCTTGCCAGGTCAGAACTTTTTTTTTCTAATTTCAGATTAATATAAGGATGCATACAATTACATTACATTGTTTGTTGTTTTTTTCCTTGATTTTTTGATTAAGTAGTCCATGAAGCAAACATTGAACTACTAGGGGTCTTGTTGAATCTAAAGATATCGGTTATGAATTATAAAATGAAGTTATAGTTCTAGGATAGATCTTAAAAGAATATTTACTTCAGTTTCCTGGTTTCAATTAAGTTGCGTTTCATAACTTCTTATTGAGCAATACTTATGGGCAAGGTTTTATTATTTTATTGAAATTCAATCCTATTTTCCGCAGATTTGGAATCAAGAACTGGCTATATTGGCCAAGCATGGTGGCTCAGGCATATAATCCTAACACTCTGGGAGGTTGAGGTGGGAGGATCACTGGAGCTCAGGAGTTCAAGACCAGTCTGAGCAAGAGTGAGACCCTGTGTCTACAAAAATAATAAAGAAAGAGGGGCAGCACCTGTGGCGTAAAAAAAGATAGGGTGCAGGTCCCATATGCCAGAGGTGGCAGGTTCAAACCCAGCCCTGGCCAAAAACTGCAAAAAGAAAATAAATTTTTAAAAAAAGTTTAAAAAAATAATAATAAAGAAAGAAAGAAAAAGAAAAAATTAGCCAGGTGTTATGGTGGGTACCTGTAGTCCCAGTTACTTGAGAGGCTGAGGCAGGAAGATCACTGGAAACCAGGAATTTGAGGCTACTGTGAACTAGACTAATGCCATGCCACTCTAGCCTGGGCAACAAAGTAAGACTCTCTCAAAAAAAAAATAATAATTAGCTCTACTATAATTCAACTAATTTTTAATACTTTTATGTTCAGTGAAATATGAAAAGTTCTTTTGCAAAAGAGGAATAATTTAGGTCTTGCTCTTAAAGCTTACTTCAATTGTTATTAAGACCACAGGAATCTCATAAAGTATGCATTCAAGTCATAATGTCTCTCTGAATAATGCAAATAATTTACCATTGCTATTAAATTTTTAATGAAAATATAGTTTTACACTCTTGGTAGATAAACAAAGTGATAATTTAGTTTAAAAGTCTTAATACATTTTAAATCTGAGTTTTTACATAATATATGATAAGGGTCATTGTTACAAGAGGGTTGTTTCTTTCCATAAAATCAATAAAATGTATATGAATTCTTAAATTCCATAGTGGAGTAATTTGGTGCCCTTTAAGGCAGCCCTACCTTTTAGTACATGGGCCATTGGCTATCTGTGGAGAGGGCACAGGCTCATGGAGTAAGAACGTTTGTCCTTTCATTTTCTTATACCTGGTTCTTTTTTCCCCTTTCTTTATCATTGTCTTTCACTTTTTCCATTCCCTGTTATCTGCTCTAGTTCTCTTGGAGTCATGCACACTTGAGACTGTCATCACAACAATGACATCCAAGATGCACTACAGTGGTACACACTGCGGAGGATCCTATGCTAATGTACTTTCTTTCTCCACTACACTGTAAACTTTCCCTGGGTGAGCTTTTTGTCCAGAATCATGGAGGAGGCTACATAGGAGCAAGGAGATTCAGGGTTTCCCAACTGTACTGATCAGAGTTTACACAGCTTTGGATCTCTTTTTCTATGTCCTCTTCCTCGAAGAATAGGGTGGGAGGAAACTACTCCAGCATTCTAGTATGCAAGAAAGAAGACATACCTGGATTAGATCAAATTTAAGATTGCTTGATACTTGAATCTGATTCTCTATCTACCCCTTTTATGTTGTATTCTATTGACTTCAACTACTAGATCATTATGTCAAGGCTTCCAAGGATGGCATTGTGTTTTTCTGTCCAGCTCCATCTCGCAATTTTTATTTGTTCACTTCTGACTTCTCTTCTGCTACCTCAATGATTCTTTATTAAGCCAGAGGCATTTTATTCTCTTGATTCTTCAGTTTATGCAGAAAGGAAAAGGAAATAACTGTCTAAGTTTCACCCATGGGGAAAGAAACCATGAGTATTGGGATTTTTGTACTGAGTGTTATCATCATATTATTTGTTTGAGTACATAAGTGGTAGTGTTTAATTGGAGTTCAAATTATTATTTTCCCCAATTATTATTTATGAATAGCAAACACCCATAATATGAGTCTTTTGGAATGCAAGTAATTATATAGATTGAGGCAAATATAGTTGAGTGGTCATATGAAAGCATTTTTAACATCTTTAAGCAAGTTGCCATGCAAAGTTGTATTTTTATTAATATTAAAGTAAAAAGTAATAATATCCTTACAGGAACGAGCGCACCGCGTTCCTCAGGTTCACCATGATTGCTTCAGTCTTAAGCAACCAAAGATTAAAATTGAGAAGAGGAAACTAACAGACCGGATTCATCTTTTCTGGGGAGAGAAAAAAAAAAAAGAAAAAGAAAATTAGTTGAAAGTTCAAGTAACTTGCATAACAATGAATTAAACAAATACATGCTTATTTGGTTATAAGAAATTGTCAATATTTAATTTAGCAAACAAGAAAGCATGTTATATTATGTGATAAAACATAATAAAGAGAGCAGATTTTTCATATATTTACCAATGCACAGGCATCAGAGTTTTACTAAAATTTCTGGTATATGCCTTACTGACATGGTAAATTTTCCCCCATTAGAGTATACATGGCTTCAAATCAACGTTTTGATAAAAATATATATATATATATATATATACAGTAGAACCTCTGTAAGTTGACTACCCAAGAGGCCGTAACAAACTGGTCAACATATGCAGGTGGTCAATAAGAAACTAGTCCTATTGTACTGATACATGTCGTGCATGTCTAGTCTATGAAAATTAGGTCAACTTTAGGAGATGGCCAATGAAGGAAGGTGGTCACCAATGGAGGTTCTACTGTATATTCTGCTTACTTTGCAAACTGTTGAGAGAAAATGTGCAATCTAAAAAGTAGTATTTCTACAATAAAAAGGTTTAATCTCACAGTAACATGGAAAACAAAAACATGTTTTAAGCATTTTTGTAAAGTGAATGTATTTATACAAAATTTCCAGTTTTCTTCTTTAAAGTGAAGCAGTCCCTATTGTACTTTCACATTAATCAACAATTTTCTCCAGAGGGCCGCAACAGGTTATACAGAAATAAATGAAATGATCGAGTTTAATATGTGTGTATTAAATCTAGCCACCTCTTTGTGTACAAACCCGTTAGTAACCAATAGATAGTGTGTACAGTCAGAGCGCCTGAAATAATACTGATATTGCAAATGAAAGGTCAATTGTACTAGATGATCAAAACAAAATCTTTAGTTTAGTAATTTGTGGATTAAGAGGTAACAATATATCTTCTAAAGTACTAGGAAGAAAACATGAAATCCAAACGACTTAGCAAAGAATTTCCGAAAGGATACCTTTTATTTCTGCAGACTAAATTATCTGTTGCATCATAAAACCCAACAAATATTTGCATAGTGTATTCTTCATCCTTTACTGCTCACTATATTCAGTATATTAAAGTGTTGACCAAACGAAGATTGGAGGCAAATTTTCTGAGAATCTTTGCTGCTCTCTTTGTGGAAATAACATATTTACATACTGGCACATGCCACTATTAATCTTTAGAGGGACACAAAAAAAAATAGTCATTGTGAATTCTAGCGACTAACATAGAGACCCTTAGGTTTTTCTGCTGGCAGATTCCTAACTGGGCAAACTCCTTTGTTTTCCATCTCGCCTTTTCTATATTTTCTGTTTAGGATTTTGATTATACTCTTTCCACACCAAACATCTGTTTGTTTTTTTTTTTTCTAGGATTATAAATCTATTACAAGAGTCAGGATCTGTCACATGCACTGGACTGTCAATGAGAAGAATTTAGTGATATGTACGTAAGTATAAGAGAAAAACAGAAAGTGAGGGAGATAGAGAATTGACCAGCTTGAGAACATGGAATAACATCAAAAGATCATGGGTTTTGCCTAATTTGTAACTATTCTCAAGGAATATCATAATATAAATCTATCTTGATAATCTTTCTCTAGTGTTTTCTAGCTTCTTCCAGAAATTTGCAAGTAAAATTTCACTCCAAAAAAATTGTTATTTAATTATTTATTTATTTTTGAGACAGAATCTTACTCTGTTACCTGGGCTACAGTGTAGTGGCCACATTATAGCTCACTACAGCCTGGAACTCCTGGGCATAAGCAACGGTTCTGCCTCAGCTTCCCAAGTAGCTGGAACTACAGGTGAGCACCACCACCCATGTCTAGCTGTTGCCCAGGCTAGAGTGCCCTGGCATTAGCCTAGCTCATAGGAACTTCAAACTCTTGGGTTTGAATGATCTTCCTACCTCAGCCTCCCAGACTGTTAGGATTATAAGTGTGGGTCACCAAGCCTGGCAAAAAAATTGGCATTCTTTTAATGTTAACCAAACATAATAGAAAATGCCCTTGAACTGGCAGTATAAGGTTAAGAATCTGACATGATAGGAATAAAGTATATAAATTAGGTAAAGTAAACTATGCTGTATTATATGTTTTCTCAAATGGCAAGGTCACTATGATAACATTTTATAAGGAATGTTCTATGAGTAAGTCTACAAAATGGGAAAGAATGCAAAAGTTCTAAAGCATTGGATAAGGTCTATTAGTAAGATACTAAAAAACTACCTGTCTTTTGAACTCCACTGATTTTCTCTTTCTTTTTTTTTTTTTTTTTTGCAATGGGACTCTCAAGCTTGCATGAACACACACAAAAAATACCTATGGATTCAAGTATTTTAAATTTGGGAAGATTTATGTTTTTTTTTTGAGACAGAGCCTCAAGCAGTCTTCCTGGGTAGAGTGCTGTGGCATCACAGCTAACAGCCACCTCCAACTCCGGGGCTCAAGCAAGTCTCCTGCCTCAGCCTGGCCACAGGTGCCCACCACAACACCTGGTTATTTTTTGGTTGCAGCCATCATTGTTGTTTGGGAGGCCCGGGCTGGATTCAAACCCGCCACCTTAGGTGTATGTGGCTGGCGCCTTAGCCACTTGAGCCACAGGTGCTGAGCCAAGATTTGTGTTTTCATAAAATAAAAAATAACTCATGAGATAACTAACAATGTTTAATTGTTAAAGTTGTGATTCTCAATAATAGCAATAACAAAAGGTGAATACAAGTCACATTCGAACACCTCTTGTAATTGCAGAGGTCAAACGTGACTTCGACACAGTTTTTTTCTTAAAATGTGTATACTTTTTTTTGGCACCCTCTGTATATACTTCTATATATATTTTCCATGTAATTTCCACATTCTTTAGCCAAGTGCTAGGTACGAAGTAATTGGCTGATGGAAGCAAAAGGAAAAGATTTAAGATGTGAAGTCAAAACCTTCTAACACTCTGGGAGGCGGAGGTGGGAGGATCCTTCAAACCCAAGATAAAGGAAGAGTTGTGGTTTTGTCCAAATTGTGTTTGGGGCGGATAAAAGTTTACAACTTTACTATTAAACCCCGGAAATTTCCTCATTTGCTCTCAATCTAACCTTTCATAACTCGTTTTTACCATTACCTTTTCCACCCTCCCAAGTGGAAAACTGTTTTTTATTCTTTCTTTCCTATACCTGGTCAAACCCAATACTCATGAATTTAAAAAGAAAATGCCAGCATTTCTACCAAGGGTTCTAACAAAAATGGGGAGGTATAGATTAACCTATGAAAAGACAACAGTTTACACTAGATTTCTGGAAATTCCATGAGCTCATCATTATGATGCAGCAGATTTTCTGTTAATACCAAAGAGACTAAATCTAATGCGGAATGTATTTAGTTTTGCTTTATTTTGTTTCTTGAGACAGAGTCTCATGCTGTAACACAGGCTAGAGCACAGTGGCATCATCATAGTTCAAACCAACCTCAAACTCTTGGGCTCAAGCCATCTTCCTACCTCAGCCTCCCAAGTAATGGTGATCACAGGCACCTGCCACAATGTCCGGCTAATTTTTCTATTTTTTGTAGGGATGGAGTCTTGCTCTTGCTCAGGCTAGTCTCTAACTCCTGGTCTCAATTAGTTCTCCTGCACTGGCCTCTCCAAGTGCTAGGATTATAGGCGTGACTACCCCACCTGGCCTGCATGTTTTGGTTTTGGTTTTTAGTAGTGGCATATATAGTCTACTGCGATCATTCTTATCTTGAGTTTTCATGATAAAGCATTTGAGAATCGAAGAAGTATACACATACATACACACATGCATACACACCCAGTGGTTTGGTTTTTGTAGCTTTCACTGTTCAGAAAATATGGACTCATGACTCAGAAAATTTTTCCTCAAGTTATCATACTCATTGAGCTTTCAGCAGATGGATAGATCAAAAATAACTTAGAAATGTTCAAGTTAATCCTGGAAAGACTATATTAATGCAGCACAGATTTACAACTTTGAGTGGACGCTTTTATTTCAAAAATTATCTGATGAATATTGTAGGAATCATCCTTTTGTTTTCAAATGTACTCTAGAAATTTTCTAATAAATCATTCGTCACACTAAACATTTACCTTTGCCAATTATAGTCAAAGCATGTAATATTTATGATGTTGATAGAAAGTTTTCCAGTTATCATCATCAATGAAATTACAGAGTGTGCTCTCTTCAGTAAACACAAGTTCTTCATATGTGTAAGGTCCAGGTGGAAATATATTTCATGAAGTTAAATAAATTAAAATAACCTCCTGTCTTCAATTGTGAGGTCTTCATGTATTCTACAATTCTGAACCCACATAAGTCCTAGGACTGATAAATTAGGACTGATGAAGTAATCCAGTCTCTTGCCTTCTGAAAAGTCTATCTTTAAGTCACTTTAAGAAGCTTGATAATTAATATGCCTTTTTTTTTTTAGCAAGACAGAAAGACTTTATTGACTTATAGAACTGTGAAGTGTGTGTGTAGGGTGTGTGTGTGTGTGTGTGTATGTGTGTGTGTGTCTTCAGTTACAAATGGCGTCATATACTCAAACATAGCATTAAGAAGCCAGCTACGTGTCCCAGTTCTGGAATCCTCTGTGCAGGCTCCATTCTCAAACAGGCATTTCCCCCATACTGACCTCTGATCCTGCCAAACTTCTACCTTTTATAGGTTAGCAGTTCTCACTTTTCCTGAGAGATCTAGCAAAACCCAGGACTACATTTCAGTGGCCCAACTTGGGTCATCTGATAATTTATATTCTTTCTTTATTTATTTATTTTTAGAGGCAGAGTCTCACTCTATCACCCTGGGTAGAGTGCTATGGCATCATAGCTCACAGCAACCTCCAGCTCTTGGGCTTAGGTGATTCTTTTGCCTCAG